CCCCAAAACCCCAAAACCCCATTATCTAAATTAGATAATTTAATTAAAATGATGATACTTGAGATAAATCAATTAATATTTATAAGAGTTTGAAATTATAATTATCGTTAGAAAATTAGAAATGTTTAGAAAACAAGACTTCAAGAAGATTGATTTACTAGGATCTGGTAGGTTTGATTGCTAATGCTTAACCAAATTTAGGAAAAAAGAATACTAAGATATACAAGGCAGAGCACATTCCAACTGGTAAATTCTATGCGATTAAAGAGGTTGAGGCAAAGACCCTTGATAAGCTAAATGAATACAAAGTAATTTAAATCAATATTTGTCTCAAATTGAATTATTTAGGAAGAAGCTGTATAATTATTTAAGGTTTAAAACCATCCAAATGTTCTTCAATTCTTTGGCTATTACTTCTACGAAACTATGTATAACACATTCAGAATTGCAATGGTTTGTGAGTACATGGATCATAGAACCAACTTGGAATATATGTTTAGAAAAAGAAAAAACCAAAATCTTTATTGGAAGCAAGACGAACTTGAAAAAATGATTGTCTCTGTCATCTCAACACTATCTTATCTTCAATCAGTTGGTATTTGTCACAGAGATTTGAAACCAGCTAACCTCTTCCTTAGTCCACAATCTGGTGAGGTCAAAATTATTGATTTCGGAGAATCAAAGGACTACTTTAAGGATTAAGATGATGGAGGTGCTGGAACAATGGCTACAATTAGAGGAACACCACAATACTTGTCCCCAATATTATGGAGAGCTCATGTTGAAGAAGGTGGTAATACTAGACACGTTACTCACAATATTTTTAAAAGTGATGTATTCTCATGTGGTTTAATTTTCTACCAATTCGGTGCAATGGAAGATGTAACGGGTTTTAATCAGAAAAATTAAGTAAACGACGGTGAAAAGCTTGTAGATATAGGCTTGAAGAAACTCAGATCTAGATTTTCAGATCACATTATTGAAATAGTTAGATTAATGCTTAAATTTGAAGAGTCAGAGAGACCAAGCTTTATTGAATTAGCTAAACTTGTATTAACATCTACAGAAAATACAATTGATTCTCCAAAAGGAGGCAAGCATCCAATTGGTGGAAGTGGAAGTACAGCTGCTATCTAAAAAAGTATTGAGCAAAGCAATCAAAACAAAAGAGTTAATAAAACATTCAGCAATTAGAATATTAAGGATGCTAGTGTCAATTTGAACATTGACTCTTAGACAAACAGCAATCAAATCATAAACTTAAACAACAAAAGAGACAGTAAAAGTGGAGTATCTAATTAGTTAATGCCTAATATGATCGAAGAAAGCCAAAATAATCTTATGACTTAAAGCGAACTATTCAGAAGCTATGCAGATTAGAACAATCTTTATTTGAATCTCACTAACTAAATGTATTGGTTTGAGTTCGGTGGAAATAAAATCGGACGATTGTTCATAGAAGGACCTGAGGCAGAAGAATTTCCAAAGTGGAGGTTAATTGCAAAGTACAAGGGAGAATTCCCTAGTCATATAACATTAGTTTACATTAATGGAGGGGCTGTTGGATCAGAGGTGATTACCCAGCAGCAAAACAAGAATATCAGCACTTGGTTTTTATTAGGGGGAATGGGAAATAATTGCATGTAATACATTGACAAAAACATTGTGAATAAAAGTCCCTTGCCAAATGAGAAGTCATTTTTTGCAGCTGTTCCAGTGAGAGGTTCAATAATATATACTTTTGGTGGATATGAAAATGTTGAAAAGTGCCAACTTAAGAGTTGCGAGTACTATTCAATAGATAAAGATAAATGGTACAGTAATGAGGAAGTTTAACTGAACGAAGCTAGGTCTTAATGTTCGGCAGCATTATTTGAGGATAATATCATCTTTATCTTTGGTGGTTATAACAAAGAAAAAGGAACCTTGAGTACAATTGAGAGATATGATATTAATAAAAAAAGAATAACTCTATTAGAAATAGTTATGCCCCTAGCTTTGAGAAGGTTTGCTTCAATAAAAATCTCAAGCTCTAAGGTTTTGCTACTTGGGGGTATTGGAAGACTTAACAAGGATTCTGATGTTGTCTTTTGCTTTGATATTGACAATGGGTAAGAAGGAAATTCAGGCAAAAACTCTCACAATAATCTTAATAGTGTCAAATACTCTATTGAAAATCTTGATAAGATTGACAAAGCAGGAGTAATAGAGTACCCAGTTATTCTTGATTCAGTTGGAAGTCTACACTTATTCATAGAAAACGCTACAGGAACTAGTCCCCCTGTAAGATCTGTCTACTCATTCTTAGAGTACAGCTGACTAATTAATCCACCATATATTATGTATAACTTATCTAATATTAATTCCAAATATTTGTTTATGGGGTTTTGGGGTTTTGGGGTTTTGGGGTTTTCTATGAAT